ACTTAATCAGGGTTAGACTAGAATTATGTGGGAGGCTGGGTGTGTCTCCCACTGGGTTTTTGGATTCTCCTCAGCTGGATTTCTGTTCCTTCCTAGTGTGAACCAACTGAATATAGATGTCTGTCGCTATGTGGATCACAGAAACTCATTCATTTATGTGGCGACACAATGGAGTCTAATTCTGGCTTTTTGAAATATTCAGCACTAAATTCTGTTGTAGGAAAGTGAAGCTCTTTTATAATTCTACCTAATGCCTTTTTCATGTTTGCTGTGATATATTATTGAAGTCTAAAATAATGAAAAAGACCTTAGTTACTCTATAACTCTTAAACATTTCATAATTTTACAACCACTAACCTCAATGTATTTCATTAAGTTTCTCTGCCATAGACCACCGCAAAGTAACCCATGCTGCAAATATGGCGTATAATAGCAAATAATTTGCTGCATGTTTTGCTAATATAAATCTAGTAAGTGCGTGTATGGTAACTGTGGAGGAGCTGTACCGTCTCTCAACTTAGGAAGGTCAGTTTCCAACCATGTATTCCCCAAATCTGACCGGGGCGAGTGAAAAGAAAAAACTATGGTTAAAAGAAACCGTCAGACATCTCCTATGTAGCTCCATATAATGCAAAACATTTAGCATGATGAAAGATTTCAAAAGAACAGAACTTAACACTTGTCAAATTGTTGTTTAAAATCATTTTGAATAAGTAGTGTGAACTGTTAGTCAGACAAGAAAAAAAATTTGCTTTGAGAATAAAATTTCATTGGCTGAATATTTGTTAATAGGTGTGGCCATTGCTAGTGGTGTCTGTTTAATGAGGGATATTAGGAATAACATCTATGATTGTGTGATCTGATTGGTATATTAAAAATTCTTGCAAAATCTTGCAGTACGGCTATAACACAGGATAATCTGCAAAAAGTTTTAAAGAGTCAGGTCTTTTAGGTTAGCTGAGAAAAAGAAACTAGAACTTTCAAACCATCTTATTTACGGTAGATCTGTTTTGTTCTTTTATCATGGTGTGTTCAGACATGGAGATGGAAAGGGAAGTGAGAAAGAAAAAGAGGATAATAACTTGGTTGAGAGAGAAAGCTAGAAAAATGAAAGAGTGCATGAAAAGAGAGAAAAAAACAGCAAAAATAGACAAAACAAAAGATATACAGTAACTTTTAGAAATCTGCTTCCCTGTATGAGATGAGAGAAAGAAAGAAAACAGAAAAGATAGCAACAGCAAAAGAAAGACAACATACAACCAAAGTAAGTGTAATTGAAAAGATTTAGGAGAATAACTGAGAAGTAATTATTTGGTCACAAGAAATGTTTGAAGTAACAGGGAACTAAAATTTTTATTTATTTATTTATTTGACATGGACAGTGCACATTAAAAAGCATTCTTGCAAATGCAAGAATTAGCCAAAAGGCTATTTTTCATCAATTGTCTACCTAAAAAAAACACAACAGTAAGCATTGCACGATGAAAAATACAAATATAAAAAGAAAAGTATATTTAATAAAATAAATAAATATGTGTTCTCTTCTAAATAAAAAAACAATTATAAAGTACATATATAATATTCTAATGTTACTTCATTAACATATAAAAGGTTGATTTTGTTGATTTTTCAAGGTAATTTAACAAAAGTATTGAGTTAAGTTAACTTACTTGGGTTTGCAATGTAAATTTAATTGGAGATGTGGAAGAATGAACTCTGATGGTATAACACTGAAATGGAAACTCTGGCTTAAATGTTAAATGCAGTGTGTGTTGGAAAGTTAACCCAATCCAAAACAGCCTAATAAAAATGAAAACTTTCAGAAACAATAATGGCTATATGCTGTAGAGTCTTCAAAATTGGTGTCAGACTTGAAGGGAAGATGAGTGGAGCTTAATATTGGACAATTATCTGCTACTTACCACATGAATCAAAAACAAATGAATGACTTCAATATTTCAGAGGATATGGAACATTTGTCAATGTAGAGTAGCTATTTAAGACTAAACTTTCCATGCACTGGTTTCTGGTTGTGTGTCCATCCTCTCATCTCTTATGTAATTCCCTCCAGTGGGAATTTAAAACCCAGAAAGTAAATCTACAGTGAATCACTTAATCTAACAGACTTAATAGGAATCTGTGCAAGAACTGAAGGTTGTTTACTGAGATGCATGAAAGCTTGTTTGAGCCGTCAGGGCCATGCTTAAATGCTCTTACTTTGTGGTGGTAAAAGCCTGATTGATTTCCTTCAGTAGCGTTTCTAATCAACAGAGAGCCATTGATTTTCTCTCCACGCACTCTTTGAGATACCCAAGACACCTGCTGGCAGCCAGCTGACAGACACCGCTAACCAACAGCTGACACACGCTGGTGCCAGTTCGCCATGCTGGAGCGGGTGAAGTACACATGTTAACATAAAGATCCTCCATACACAATGTGGGATCTGATGTTTTGTGAATCATATCTCGTGGTATGTCACAGATGGGTTTTTGTAACCAGTGTGCAGGAGGACTTGCCATCTCCAAACACTCTGACAAAAAGAAACAAAATCTTCCATCCTCTGATGTGCTAAAGCACAGGGGAGCTCTGTTTTATGTGAAAAAAAAAGGTCTCTGTCACAGAGAATCATTACAATCATCAGCCTGATCAGCAGAGTTTGTCTGTAGTGACTTTCATCCGCAGGAAGAGTGCCTCAGTAAGCAGTTCCTCTGCTGGAGTCACATGCTTGGAGCTGAGGCTCGCAGCCAGCTGTCCCCATCATCAATTCAGATAATGCAGAAGGATGAGGAGAGGTTGGTGTTTGGAGGGCGAGCTGCTTGTACAGACAACAAGATCTGCAAGAAAATAACAAACTAGCATGTTGCATAAAAGTTACAGGTGTTTTAAAGTACTGCAGAAATGCAACTTAATGATCCAAATTTGGATAAAAACATATCCTTAGAGCAGAAAAATGGCTCTACCATTTGGTTTCTCAGTAAGATAAAAACAAATATGTAAAGAAAAAGAGTAATCTATTAACTAAATGGTTAGCTGAAATAAACTGTATGATTAAAACTGTTGTAAAAAATTTAATCATTATTCAACCCAAAAAATATGTTTATTTTTATTTTATTTAACCAGGGGGAAAAAAATCCCATTGAGATTAAAAAAACTCTTTTTCAAGGGAGTCCTGACACAGCAAAGTTACATAAAAAGCAGAGATACATTAAAATAAATGACAGGTACATAAACAAAAACATATAAATTAAAACAATTGCGGATCATTGAGGCTGCTTCAAATTCTTTCACTTTCAACTTAAAAGCATTTAAAGATAAAAACTCAGTCAACTTCCAGTTTCTTTGTAAAAAAAGATTCCCCGCACAAGAAGCTGCGTTGCTAAAGGCTTTCTTCCCTACTTCTGTGCGGGCAAAGGGAACAGTGAGCAATAGCTGATCATTGGATCTAACGCTTTATGCTGCTGGGAAAGATGTATTATAAAACTGGTCAGATTTTTGGTTCAAGTTTGTGAGTTTAGACAAGAAAAAGGAGTCTGATTATTCTACCAGCATAAGACATACAACAAACTGATCATACTTACCAAACAGCAACTATAGGATGAAAGGGATATCTGATCAAATTAAGTGAATAATCATGATAATATTAATAATGAAACTCATGCCAGTAGGTTATGTTAATGACTTTAGTTCACATCTTAGAACCAGTTTGCTTACTTAAAGCAATAAATAAATGGTCATTTTTTTTAACTGAGTAGTGCTATATATGTTGATCAGTGAAACGGCCATATTGTTTCATTTTAAAGTATCACATGTGAACTAAATTAAGAGTTGAAAAGCATATGTTGCATCTTTATATTCTAAAAACTTCAGATCCCTTCCCCTTTACGCTTATCCCAAGTGGAGCTGCAAGGAGAGGCGGGGTACACCCTGGACGGGTCACAGAGACAAACAACCATTCTAGCACACACTCACACCTAAGGAGAATTTAGAGAAGCCAATTAACCTAACATTCATGTTTTTGGATGATGGGAGTAAGCCGGAGTACCCGGAGAAAACCCATGCATGCTCAGGGAGAACATGCAAACTCCATGCAGAAACACCCTGAGCTGGAATCGAACCCAGAACCTTCTTGCTGCAAGGCACAGTGCTACCAACTGTTCTACCCACTGTTCCACTGAGCAGCCCTGCCATTTGTAGAGGTTAGGTAGTTCAAACCAAAAATATTATGTCATAAATGAGACACAAAAAAGAGGACTTCCATAACATCAGAGGTCCTAAGCATAAGACATATTAGATACACAAAGACCAGAATAAAAGCCATTACAAAGCTTGCAACATTTCTGAACATTCACAAAGCTGATGGAGCAACAGGACCTCATTGCTGGCACTTTCTCTATACTTAAACACACTTAAAGCACTAACTTGATGCAAACGCGTTGAATAAGTCAAAATAAAAAATATATTTTCAACTAAGAAATTTTTCTCTTATTATTTTGTGTGTTAAGCAGCAGTCTAACACCAATATCAACAAATGACTCAGAGCTGGGTTAGCTGAATGACACCTATTAGACTAGAGGCCAACTCATCTTGCAGTTTTTAGCCTGTGTAGGCCTACTTCCTCTATGAAAAAAAGTCTTGGCATAAGACAAGTTTTCTCTACCTTATGCCCAAGAGTGTGGGAGGGACACCAGCAGTTGCCAGTCAAGTGAAAAAACCTGCAGACAAATTGTTTACTGCACAAAATCTGAAATTAAAGGCGTCGGATTCTATTTTATCATCATAAACAGCAAATTAAACGAATTCTTTCATTACAAAATGCACATGAAATAATACAAAAATAGCCCGGAAATGCCCATAACATCTCAGCATAGACCGCATTGCTCCCCTCCCTCCCCTCCTCTCCTCTGAAAACACGCACAACCACGCCCACAGAGGCACGCGCACAGGCGCAAGCTGTGACACACCTCCTCCTCCATCACGCACCAACACAGAGCTATGAGGGAGAGGAGCTGGGTGATGCAGATAACATGAAGGACGGGTGCTCGGCTCCTGGAGGATCGCAGCAGGTGCGTTAAGGTTTATTCTGCGCCGCGCGGAGACAGGACAGGCTGCGCTAAACCATCATGTCCACCGCATCCCATCAGTTCTCCGCCGACACGGTAAGAGAGGCCTCCCTGGTACCTTTCCTAAATCTCCAAACTTTTTGCTTCCCTTCGTTTTTTCTTCCCCAAACCTAATTTCGAGCTTAAAGGCGAGAAGGAAAGATGGACGGCCCTGGAAGCCATTGCCGCAGCACAAAAATTAAAGGGGCGCACGAGCGCGTGAAAGCAACAACTCCAAGGCTGAATGCGCCCCACGGGCCTGAGAGATCTGCATCGGCTTCATCACTGTCTTCAACACCCCAGGGACAGAAAACACTATAGGCCTACTAATATATAAAAAGTATTGATAAATAATGGGGATAAAAATTTAAAAATAAATCAATGTAACACTAAAAAAGGTTCCTGAAACATTTTTGGTGCCAAAGATGGCCCTTGGCACGAGTTTAAATCAATGCCTGCTAATTATTAGTCAGTTTTATTTTCAGACTGAGATTTATGCAACTGCAGGGGGGCTGAATGGTTTTCTGCTGTGGGCTGTAGCCATGGAGACAGTATGTGGCATGTGGTTTTGAACTGAAAGTGCAGTGTCCAAACTGAAAAGGAGCTTTGGAGCATGGGAATGAGTGGAGGAAGGAATGCACATATTTACCTAGTCAAGATAAAAGTTAGGGAATTATCAATATTCAGAAATGAGTTGCAACTTCTAACTTTTTTCTGAATCCGTATTATTCTGACAAAAAATAAGCTTCTAAGTGAGTGTTAAAGGCTTAAGTCAAAATAGAAACACACTACTTATTACAAATAATCTATTATATGTTTATTTATTAAGACGTTGCAATCTAAAACATGTATTTTTGTAAGACAGCCCTCCTTAGTACATATTATAGAGCCTATCCACATGTTATATAATAGGACATCTAATGCAAATTAATCTGATTTCACCTTTTTGAGTTTAACCACTAGACATGATATTAAGGTGAGCTGTGGAGACATGATGGGGAGATTGCTGGTCACTCCTCTGCAAATGATGAACAGATGGTAACTCACGGTTGGCTGGTGGGTGAGTGCCAACTAGAAAATCCATGTTTGTGTTAGATAAATAAGCGTCCCTTGTTTAAACGTTTTCTCTCTTACTCTCTTAAGTAACCAAAATTATTTCTTCAAACACCTTTCGATAAGAGTCAATAGCAGGTTGAACTTTATTCATTTGAGACATTTTATTGCAGTTTTTTTCTCTGCATGGGAAAAAAGTGATCTTAACCCAATTTCATTCTTAGTTCAGATTTCCAGCTATCCAGTTATCACTGAAATATCTACAGATCCAGACTGGATGATCCTGACGGTTATATGTTGACTAATGTTCGGCATTGAAAGTCTCAGACAGAAACATAAAGATCAAAATAATTCTGTATAAAACATATTTTCATTGGACATTTTAAAACCTCAGTTTTAAAGCGTTGACAAATAATAACCCAGAATACATGAAAATGACCCTGCTAAAATGTCCAACAATGTAGACATGTTAGACATCGTTGGAAAGCTTAGATTCTCCACAATTCAACCACCTAGTGCATTTTATGGACACAGCGAGGATTAAAGTACAATTAAGACAGATATAGCACCATGTCATAATGTACCATGACAAAGCAGCCACAACAAGCAACCTTGTCTTTATAACTGCTGTTCAAAAAAGACCTATTATTTTCAAGAATAAAAAAACAAACAACTTTGAGTCTTGTTTGAACTGATGCAGCTTGGGCTTGATGCAGCTTATGTGTTTTACTCACCCAATTTTATATATATTCAGAAACTAGAACGTGTTAGCTTTCAAATAACGTATCACACATGTAATTTGGGCTTACAGTTCCTCAGTTATTTGCTTTTCCATTTGGGTTTGCAAAATAGGCAAGAATTTCCCAAAATGAGGTGGATATTAAGAGGTTAAATTTGGTTCCAAACCATTATGGAAACTTGCTCTCAGAACACAGACTGCTGCTACCGCAGGGTCACCATGCTGCAGAGCATGAGCATCAGTTTTTCTTTTTGTTAGTTAAAATAGAAAAGACAAGTTAGTTTTTTTTAATGGTGAGAGGTATGTCAATTTGTCATAAACATAAAAAACAGGCAAAAACAGTGAGAATTCAAAAAGAGCTGGGTCAATAATCAGAAAGGGTAACTGTAAAGTAGATTCATGTCATGTATTTTGAAAATGTTGGCAGTATATCGGTAGACTTTGACCCAATGTAGGAATACGGCCACAAAACATATAAATTACACTTTTGTTGAAAAGTTCATTTATTTCTGTAATTCAATTCACTTAGTAAAACACATTATTGAAATGCTGTATAATCCATATTTCTAAGCCTTTATTTATGTTTATTATTATACACTGCTAATAGATCATGAGATTTGGGGATTTATTTACTTAATTAATACTTTATTAAAGGTTTTCTGAAGGTACACTCAATCTAACAACATGCCTCAAATATTTATTCTAATTTAGTGAATATGACTAAAGACTATATAAGAATAATACATTAAGACAGTCCTTAAAGTTAGAGATTCATAGAGTTCTGTTTTAATTGCTGAATAATTGGGCAGAACAACATATCCAACGGAGGACATGATTGCAATATCACGCAAATAGTGGGACATGATATGTTAGGTGTGGCCTGTTAAAACTAAAATATTCTTGGAAACTTGAGACACTTTCAATAGCTTTTATGATATAAGGGTTGATCATGATGAAAAGTCTTGAAGGTTAGAAAAAGGGAGGATAAGATTGTAGTCACTGAAAATAATTAAGGGAACACTTTAATCACAGCTGATATTGTAAATACGATATTTAAAACTATTGAAATGTCCTTTAAGCCATCATAAATACTTATAAACTGTTAAAAGAGTGCAACCATATGTTCATCACACAAGATGGGTAAATACTATTTCACTGAACTGTTTCAAGAACATGTGTTCTTGAATAGTTAATTACCAGTCTTTGCAGAAAAGCTTCCTAAGGAGGAATTTTGTTCCCAGGTGTAGGAGATGTAGCTCAGTAAAGCATACAGCACCAAAATTATTTAAACTACTGTTATGTGTAAACAGACTTAGCAGCTCTGTAGCATCATCTATCTGGCTTAGCAACACTCTCAACCACGTAATGTTTGCTAAATAATGAGTTAAATACATTTACTTATTCTGAACAACGACAATATAGATGATTTTTATACATGAATATATGTTCACAAATTGTAGCAGCATTGATAACAGTGTTTGGGTTTTTTTCTATTGTCTTTCATCTGGATAAGTTAAGCATTTGATTAAATGAATAGTTAACTCAGATGGTGAATTCTGATAGTTAAATTTAACTGTAAGGCAAACATAGAAGATTGGAACAAGACTAAATGCATATTTAATGCATACATTAAATATGCATTTAGGGGAGTGGCGGTCTAGTGGTTAGGGTATAGAGCTTGGAATCCTGAAGTTCTGAGTTCAAGCCCCACTCCAACAGACTGCCACTCTGGGTCCCTGAGCAAGACCCTTAACCCCACACTGCTTCCCGGGCGGCCCACTATGGCAGCCCACTGCTCCTCAAGGGAATGGGTTGAATGCAGAGGTAAATTTCTCTAATGTGAGATCAATAAAGTTAAATTATTATTATTATTATTAACCATAAAAAAGACATAATATAAAATAAAGCTCAATTGAACTTCTTAAAAAAAGTGTATCTCTAAAATATATTTTATTTTATTGCTTTAATGTTAACACACGCTGTTAAAGTCATACATGAGGTGTAGTGGCAGCCTAGTGGGGCAGAGTGGTGGCCTAGTGGTTAGGGCATAGAGTTTGGACTCCTGAGGTTCTGAGTTTGAGCCCCACTCCCACAGACTGCTACTCTGGGTCTCTGAGCAAGACCCTTAACCCCACACTGCTTCCCGGGTGCTGCACAGTGGTGGTAAATGCAGAGGTAAATTGCTCCAATGTGAGATCAATAACGTTCAAAGTTCAATAATTGCTATATTGTGCAGGTACTGTGCTGTGAAGTGGTTCATGGCTTGGTTGCCTCTTTCACTTAGCGGCATTTCTACTGGTATCAGTTATATTAAAACAGTGAGTTTTTTTACACAGTTATTTCTGGCCTCAACTATATCATAAATGGTAAAAAAAAGTATTCCTTTTATGTCTCTGTCTCTTCTATAGGATGCCCTGATACTAAATCAACATGACATGAGAGCCTTAAAGTTCCTTCAAGATGACCAGAACGCATCCCCCTGATATACTGGCATCAAATCTGTACCGGAACTTCACACTGAGCGACACTACTGGTCACTCCGTTTCTCTTCATTCCTCAAAGCAATGTGACTTGAAAATGCTTGATAAATCAGAGATAATTAACAAGAGACACTGTCGCAGTTTTGACTTCATTGAGTCACTTGATGATCCACAGTCATTCTCCTCCTCGATGGAGCAACACTACAACAGACCTGAACAGCAGACATTGAATAAAGATCTCTGGAATGCACTGGATCAGCCGGGCCATCTTCGATTTTCATCTCCAGATCTTTTCAATACCAAGCAGTTCCAGCAGCAAACTACTGAAGACAAAACCAGCTATCTTACATGGTCAGACTCCAAAAGGAGATCAAGATCTAAAAGTGCCCCGAGATTAAAGACTACCCTCACCCCTGTCCCAATCTCTGTGTCTCCACCACAGGCCAGGGGTGGAAGGGATGAATCTCAGGCTGTTTCAGATTCCATGAGGACAGCTGAAACCCACCGAGAACCCACCAGCAGGCCTTTCTTGAACGAGGTGCATCCTATTAAACTGCAACCCCACACCCCCCTCTACGTCTCAGACTGTTTTGAACATGATAAAGCAGAAAAACCAGCCGTGAGCCCTCATGTCAGGTGCCGTGTAGACATCAAACCAGATGCTGCTGTACTAGAGCACACATCGAGACAGATTCCCAATACACATGGTGAACATCTTTGGCAAAGGTATTCCCAGGCTAGTAGCAGGTCTGGACTCTATGTCCCACGGCACATTGCCTCATCTCCAACACCAACTCCAAGCGAATGCTACAGTGGAGATTTTAGACAAGGATATCTCTATACCACCAGCATATCTCCTATTTCCTACCAGCATTTAGACACACACAGGATGCCATCACCAACAACACCATACCTGAGCCAAGAACACAGAGCGTATTCAAATCCTAACATACCGACAAAGTTTTTCTATACTGAGGATGCTGCTCGGCATCCCATCCACCCCTATGCTAGGACGTATTTTCACGATGATCGATCCAGTCTAACCAGTTTTGGTAGTACGGCGACAAGTCAATATGACCCAAGGACGCGATGGGTGCACACACTTCCTGTGAGGTCATACTACACAGACCACCTTACCAACCGAGAGGCAGCTCACTCTGTACATAACAGGCCTTACTCCACAAGTGAGAGAGGTTCTTATTTTTCTCAAACTCCACTTTCTCGAGCTTATTATGGAGAAGATGGACGGTTTACTCCATACCACATGAATGGCTCAAGGCTTTTTTATTCTAAACCGTTTTCCTCTCCTGAAGAGCAGTACCTTTCACACAGGCTATATAACACAGAGAGTTATCGACGGCCTCGATTGTCTCAGGCCTTTTCAGATGATTGGTATCGCTCTAGTATTTCTGGTTTCTCAAGCCACTCCTCACAGAACACACCACCAAGGGTAAGACAAGACCTTAACATTCCCCCGTGGTTTACTAACAGCTACACAGAAGCAAGTCGACTCGGAGCAGACATCAAAAACCACTCCAAGTCTTGGGACAATATCATATATCCACGACATGAACGAGAGCAAGCTGTACCACGTGGACGAAGCTATGAGAACCTGTTTCACCAAGCAAGACAAGGGACATCCTCTGATATTACAGCTAAACCGGTCATACTTAACCTTTCAAGTTCACCAAGGCGCTATGCTGCTCTCTCTCTGTCGGAGAACTCTTTGGAGAGGAACTCAAACAAATCATGGAGAAATTCTAAGAGTGGACACTGGTTTGTTACTCCAGAGATCACTATAACAGACAATGACCTATGTTCAGGCAATGCCAGGCGTCATGATGTCCATTCTGTTCGTTGGGATACTTCGGATGGTGAGAAGGCATCAACCCAGAGGCTAGTAAATCAAAAGAAGTCACCCAACACTACAGAGATAACCAAAGAAAAGAAACATAACAACTTCTCCCTTCAGCAGAGTCTGGAACAACTGGATGAACTCTTAGCTGATTTGGTTGTTGACTACAAACCCCCAATGAGCAAAAAATCAAGTGAAAACCTTATAGACCAGTTAAAACAACTGATCACTGAGGACAATGACAAAAACATAGAATCCCCTGCATTGGAAAACTTAGAAAGCCTCAGCACTCACCTTCCATCCTCTAAATCTAGCCCAGATACATTGAAAGACCCAGACAGTGGGTGTGATGCTTTTCAAAGAAGTGCAGAAGAATGTTCTCCAGACCACAGCACAGATGAAGATGAAACAATGGTGTGCGCTAATAAGAAGTGCAACAGAATTGAGAACATGTTCAATGCTTGCTTGTACTTCAAATCCTGCCACAGCTGTTACACCTTTTACTGCTCAAGAAATTGCCGCAGGGATGACTGGGAGATCCACAAAGAAACATGCCTCTATGGTCGGGTCAGCAGTGTGTGTCGGCATACTCTTAAGTTCTGCAGAGAGAATTCAGAGATCCATAAGGCCTTTTCTCGCATTGCTAAAGCTGGCTACCTCTCCAGAGGAAGAGGTGTTCTCTTTTTGGGTTTTGCAAATCCAGAGACTGCTGAGAACTTCCTGCAAGTTGGGCTGGAAAGCCTCCTCATGTCTCCTACATACTTGTCCCTTAGAGAGCTGGATGGCTTTAAGGATAACCTAGGTGAATATTGCAAGGAACTGCAGCAGGCAGGCAATGAGTATGACCCTGATGAATGTTTCCTTCTGAATGTATCAGTAGCTGTCGGTGAACTAGTGCCTAACAGACCTTCACCGAGGGTCCAAACACCGACAGTTCGAAAATATGCAAAGGTGTCTTTGGCCTCCTCCAGTCCAGACAAAAAAGTGCTCAAGATGGATAATGAAATGGAAACTCTTATTCTCACGCCCCCTCCAGGAACACCCGACATCGACAAAGAAGGGGAGGAGGGACGGAAAGCGAGGGAGGTGTGCTTCGTCAACATCCAGCGTGAACTCAGGACCAGGGGAGTCTTCCTCCGTCACGAGTATCCCAAAATCTATAATCAGCTGTGTGAGTTTGTAGAGAGTAACAAAAGGTTTACTCCCACAACAATTTACCCGATAGATAAACGAACAGGGAAGCAGTTCATGTGCATGATCATGGCGGCATCTGAGCCAAGAACACTGGACTGGCTGGGGACTCCTCATCTTTTAGACGATATTATATAGCATAGCACTAAATACAGCAAATAAATGATGTCAGCAGCTCTTAATGTAGATACTGTGAATACATGTGGTGGTTTAGAAAATTGGATATTTGTATATGTGTAAATATGCAGCTTAATTTGCTCATTGTCTCCCCTTCTCTGATGTTTGTCCTTCCCGAACTCAAAGACAAAGCAAATGCACTTTTAAAAGTTTACCTGTGTTGGCTTGTTTTGATTATCGTACACTAAGAGGAACTGATAGCCTGCATGTAGACTAGGCTTAAACCAACTTATTCAGGTGTTTTTGAAGCTTAAAAAGACAATATATCAAGCACATATTATTCAGGGAGTGCACATTCACTCGAGTAACATTTAAGACAACCGATACCATATTGCAATGGTAACTTTATTTTCACTACAAAATGTTATATTAGAACTTTAAATACTATGTTGCAGAGGTTGTGATACAACAAATTTTTGTGTTCAAATATTTCCTTACTATGGTTGCGTGGATATCATTTAACAGATTATTTAATAATGTTACATAGTCAAAAAAGTACAATCCAGCCATCTAATTTTCTGCCCATCCAACTAAGCATTTTATTTGGAGCTTGTCTCATGTAATACTAATGCTTGATGTCATTCTTGTACAAATTGCTTAGTATGAAAGTGGCCTTTAGTTAAGTACAAAAGCATCTGACACAGAGCAATGTATGGGGTAGGTATTTCTAAAGTATTAAGAGCTGTTTAACCAGAACTGTAAATAGATTACTATTTTGCTCAAAGCATGTCATTTCTATTTAAGTATTTTATGTTTTTGCTTATAAGTGAATTTATTATGTTGATAGCAGTTGCTGCTTAGAAATGTGAAAGGTATATTGCACAGTCTGCAAAGAATTTTGCATTATTTTAACATATGGACCTAGAGACCTTATTGTAACTATTACCACCACATTTTCTGAATTCAAGCATATGCAATAAAAGAGCAACCTTGTAATGTAAAATCCTATTTTAATATATAAAACCCTGATTCCTTTAAATTAAAAGTTGTTTGCACTACGAGATAAGTCCTAAAAAATGTTCCTAACAATGCCCCAGCACTGATCTTAGCCTGCTTTATTGTCCTTGATCCCTAAGCTAAGGTTGCTCTTTTACTTGATTATATATCTTTGTGCAAGAGCCCTCAAGTTTATATTTTGTGATGTTTCTAACTACTGTATAAATCTACTGTATAAATATATAATAAATGGACTTTAACGAGTGGCCAAGTGTGACCTGTTTGTCAGAATTAGAATTTGTAAAATAGTTTTTTATTGTGGCTGAGTCTTATCAGGATTTTGGGGCTAGAAACACCTTTTTAGATGTTAAACTGAGATTTTTTTTTCATTACAAAAAGTGTCATACTTCAAAATGTTTTTTTCACAGAAAGTGAAATGTATTTTTTTGTGCGTAGTAGCAAATTTCAGGCTGTAATTTTAAAGTGTTATTTAAAAAAAAAAAAAAAAAAAAAAATCGAATTTTTTTTTTTGTTTTGTTTTGTTAAAGTACCTAGTTCCAGATATTAACAAAGCAACATGTGGAGAAAATATTTTTTCACAATGTGTTTTAAACAATCCTATTTCTGCTGCTTTATGGTGTTGCCTGTTCAGCGAATCAGCAACATTTCTTCTGTTACAGCACCACCTAGTGGAAGAAAGCGCCTATTGCTGCCACTAGTATTCTAGGCAACCTGTTATTATAATTAAAAGCACTTTATTGCTGCATATTATACAAATGCAACATTTTACAGCACCCCAACATTTCTGTTGTGAATAGTTCAAAATTACACCACTGTTACCATGAGAAAAATTAAAGAAATAAATCTACTTTATTTCTTACTCTATTTTAGAATGAGATCAAAGAAACTATATTGCAACTAGCAATTAAAAGTCATTTATCAGAGCAAATCTTAAATACAGGGCTGCCAACTTTTCACCTTGGAGTGAGATTTTTAAAGAATGTGGACAATGCAAACCTTGTCAGGGTTAGATGAGGATAGGTGCAGCTACAGGTTGTAGGTTTTCAGAGGATTTAACTGAAACAAAGTTGTAAAATGTTGATTTTTTTTTTATACCACAGTAAATGTTACTGAGTAACAATAAGTGATCTGTTGTTATGTGGAATATTTTTAACACACAATATCCGTTATTTTCTATATTCTGGTGATTTTCAGAGAACTGAAGTAAAGAAGTATGGACCCTAATGAAATACTGTACTTGCATCTTAAAGATACTACAAACTAAGAATTTCCCAACTGTGTTTATTAATTATTCTATGCAGTTCAAGTAACATAACCAATGGGAACTAATAAGTGTTATCGGATTACTGACACTAATACAGGAACCACTGAAATCGAATCCTGTGATAAACTACAGTGTGTATGAATATTTGGTAATAGGCTAAGGAATAAAAATTTTAAGTTATTATCTTATTCTTTTTACAATTGACAAAACAGCTTTTACAAAACAGATTTTACAAAAACTTACCATGACACAACACAGCACTTTTGTGGATGTTTGATTTTAGTAGATATGATGTAAATTAAGTTTTTGAACATATTAAATGGACCAAAATAAGAATAAATGAATAAGATAAGTAATAATAAAAGAAGAACATCCCTCTGGTTCCTCTTATATCAATCCTGGATAACTGAGTTGTTCTGCACATCCTCTTTGAATGTGCTTGGTCTTTTCTTGGGTGGCTGATATTTTGGAAAATAAAATGCAATGGGTCTTTAAAGCTTTCAGGTTTCAAACCTTGAAGCTTTAAGAATTTAGTTTAATTTAGTGTTGGTTTAATCAGTCCTAAAATCCAACAGGAGAATATTAAACTAAACTTAGCAATAATGAAAAAAAAAAACATGGACTAAAACTGGGACTAAATCATGAGGATAAAGTAGAGCAAACAGGTAGTAAAGCTCAGTAAAAAAAAAACACAAAAAGAAAATGCTCTCAGCTCAGTGAATAGATGAACTTGTGCAAAACTACAGACTGGATCTGAACCTGGCATGTTTTTATGCATTATTGTTGAAAACGCGGACTGGATTTTTTTTTTTATCACCATGGTTTTTTTATATATAAATAAGTGGAATAAGTGTATTTTTCATGTCCGTCATTTTTTATCACGAAAAATTGGGGATCTGGAGTGTGTGCGTCTGAAAACACTGAAGTGTGTGAGTCACAGGGGTAGCCAGAAAATTTTAATAAGGGTGGCCAGGTAGTAACCAATGTACACTGAGGGGTGGCCAAAAGTAGATAGGCACTAAAACCTCACGGTCAATCTACACTGTTCCATGAGGAAAATCAACAAGCAAAACATCCATATTTTCTAAATAAAGACAAACTATACTTTCCCACAGCCTTTGCTAACAAATAGACGCATATATTTAAACATCCGTGCTTTCTACATAAAAGTAATAATAAAATAAAATGATACAATAAAGTAATAATAATAAATAAGGTAATAATAAAAAAATTAAATTCTCTCACGTTTGAGTTTTCCATTGTCATTACTTACCTACTTTTATCAATAATTATCATGCATAAAATGATATTTACAAATACTAATATCTACATAAATTGATCATTTAATAAGTTTTTATGAAAAATAGTTATTTATCTATGATTTAACTGAAGACTCCTAGATGACTTGCAGAGACGCATAGTTTTCTCTTTACCCCATAATACACAAAATCTAGTTCTGAAAAGAGCACGAATTCTGTACTAATCATCTTTATTGTTAGTATGTTGATGTGCAGAATTAACCAGTGTTTTGGTTGTCAAGTAATTGTTAATATATGAAAAATTAAAATGTTTTGCCAGTATCTGTATTAGAGGGAAATAAATGGTAGGGATGGCCACAGGGGTGGCCGATGATTTGCCCCGGGCCAATGGTTGAGAGTTGACAGTCCTGTTCAGCAGAAGATTTAAAGCTACAGTGTGTAACTTTTAGCGACATCTAGCGGTCAGACTGCAGCAACATGAACATCTCCCCCCCACCGCTTCTCCCCCCCAACAGTACAGCTAGCGTTACGGGACAAAATGTCTTCCACGATGTCGGAATCACCTACCTTCTCAAGTGATGAGGTTTGTTTACATAGATAATTTTACAGATAGTATTTCATTAGTCTGTGTAGGGTATAGATTTCATGTAGACTTAAGATAATAAATATACCCGTTATTTTTTCTACATCGTTGTGACGTTTTGGCGATCTGGCAATCGCTAGTTTGTTGGCTCTGCGCTGCCGTAGCGCAAAGATGTCTGCCTCCATGGCTGCGAGACCCGCTCCTATGTAATTATAAATAACGAATTCTAAGGCAACGCAAATATTAAGGTTAGGAGGCTGAGCTCGTAGATGATGATAAATAACATAGTTATGTATAATATATTACATTTCTGACTGTATATCCCTGTAATTATTACACACTGTAGCTTTAAACTTCTTTAACTTCGGACTTTGAAGATGTGCCAGAAACTTTAAGATCTCAGAATTTTGAATGGATAAAAAAATAAAAAATACCAAAAGCATTAAAACAACTGTAAGAGGATTTGGTTCCATTTTAAATAAGATATGCAGGATATACCTGCATAATATTTTAAAGCGGGCGCTCCCTCTGACAGCAGCAATACCCGGTGTGCGCATGTCTCCCTTTGATGACAGCGAATGACAGCCTTGTTTAGCTGCAGCCAGTGTGCTACAACGCTAACCGCCAACAAACTCTCTTTCTGGCCTACAAACCTAATGAATAACCGCGTCTAGAGACTCTGGGACTAACTTGCAGAAGCCAGGTACATTTGGTGAGTAGCAGTACTAACGTCGCACCATTTATTTTGAACCACGTTTGATTTCTGAGAACCTCACAGCCGAAAGCTAAGCTAAGTCAGTTAGCCTGTGGCTAGCTGCTTGCTAACGTTAGCCCGCTGCTTTCTGCGCCCCCCTCTTTCAAATCACTGCAAACACTTTGCCGTTTTACTAATCTGTTTCTTCATATTGGGTTTATTATACCGCTTATATTTCCTTCATAATTTGGTGGGGGTTAACCTGTTCATTCAATGATACTTGAATGGAGAAGAGCTTTAGGATAAACCTGACGATATTAAGCTTAGTTGACGTTGAAAAACAGCTATCGGCATTTGTAGGATACCTTTCTAAGCCAGGGTTTACATCTCCTCTACTTCTTTTAACAATCGTACTTTGGTGTTTGTTATTTAAAGCAGTTGACAGGCAAATCTGCCATTTCATTAGAGGAGTGTCCGAGCTAAAATCCACAATAGATGATGGCTAAAGGCAGGCCTGGAGGGATAGTGGAACAGAAACACATTGGAACAGCAGCTGTCTGTGGCAGCTGTAGATTAAAGAGGGGAATAACACAACCATGTCCTCAGTTTGACCCTTATTGTAAGGACACCAGTGGTTAATGGGATATTGTTTTCCTGTTTGTCCTGGAATCAAACGGATGAATTTGGATTTTATTTATCCCCCCCCCTCCCCCCCAAAAAAGGTAAAAACCTCTCAGCAATAATCATGAGTATCTTCTAAAGTGTCTGTACTCTGTTACTCGAATCACGTGTTTGCTATAAACTTTAGTGTCTAGGTCATGTTTAAGTTCCAAACATGTTGCTTTGTCAACAGGCTTTACTTCCTCTGCAGTGCTGATTTAATCACATTATTTGGAAGGTTTGTTCGTCTTTACGGTTTGTGACAAATATGATTTTTAAGTTGATTAATGTTCATGTGATGACAAGTTTATCAGGATGAAAGATTTCCCTGCAAACTACTGATTTTTGTTTGGTCATACTTTCCTTCTGCTATGTCATGATTTTTTACTGATGACAATCTGGTATGATATGTCTGTATTATTACCCAACATAAAATGCATGAGATATCTTAATTTGGAATGGTAAAATGTATGTCTCAGCTCTCTAAGTTGAGTTTTCCTGTTGTTGATTTTGGTTTGTGGTACCCTATGTGTAACAATGCAAATATCAGTTGGTAGTGTGGATATTGAATGGAAAACATTTTCAGTCTGTATTCCTGGATATGTTTGGGTTATGATTCTGGAATAAAGTGCTTCTCTGACGAATTGGGAATCATCATTGCTGAGACAAGTGTGATCTTTGGCGTTGTGCTCTTTGTAACGCATGTCGTTCTAAAGGGGCAAGCACTGATGTTTAAGTTCACTTATTCTCTTTACTTTGATAATGTGGTGTGAATACACTTATGTTGAAGAGAGTTAAAATGCCACCTCCTTTTGTTTATGTTCTAATAAATAGAGATGCAGCGTTCGGATACCTGGATCAGAGATTGGCTCTCATATTGACAAATTAGATATCGATGGTTTGCAATCAGATATCGGTGATCCAAGCTCGTGCATTTTACATGAGCTCTTTTTTTCTGTGTATTTGTTAACAAATAATATAAAGTACATTCATTTCTGTGTTCATTTGTTACATTTTTTAAACAATGATCATGTCGAGGCGAGGCTAAAGCTTCCCTCACAGGGCAAGATATGTCATTCAACATTCGATTGAATAAAAAAAAAACAAAAAACAAAAACACCTTTATTGGCATCTCTGCTAAAAATATGAGTAAAACCTTGTTTTAACCCTGACACTCTCTCACTCATACTCACTTTGAGGTTGTCTTTTTTAATTTAAAAGTTTCCATTTTGCTGTTTATTCACATAAAAAGAAACATTACCTGCTAAGCTACATGGAAAATATAAGTAGAGCTGCCCTGATCTGATACTGATATTGGAAATTAGTCCAGTATTAACCACAAAATAAATATTGGTCTATATTGGTCTGCCTCTAATATCCCTGATATTAGAAAGCTCGTAGAAACACTGCTGCTTCTGTCCGCTTTTCTTTAAGTTTTTGTAGCTTTTTGCTGATGTTAAGTATTATTCTGAGAATTTTCACCAAATCAAGCCATTTTCTATCATTCCAAACTATACTGTTAGTAATAAAGATATGCAGGACTACTACTGATACTGTATTGGATCAATATCATTATTTGTCAGTACTCAAAGCTGCAATGTCGGTATCGTATCAGAAATGAAAATGTTGTCAGGACACCCCTAAATATTGGAGCTCCTACCCATCTCACCACCTAAAATGAAAAACCGCTGAGGTAACATTATGTTGATGAAAACTGACAGTTTTTAGGGACATTTATTAATAGTAATCTAATGAGATAAAAGTACTTTTCTTATGCTTACTAAAAGATGTAATTCTAATTGAATATCACACTTAACAGTTCAGCGTGTTTCTATTTCATAGTTAAAGTTCTGCTGTTTAAAACTGCGTAGGTTGTTGCGTTCTTGGCTGCAGCTCTCCAGTAGGAATACCAGCCCACTTCATTCTCTAAGATAAATGATGTTAGGATCAGGGATGTGATGAGACGGCCTGACTTTTGTGGCTCTAGTGAACAGAAACATCAGTACTCTGGTGGTTAAAGGGCTGTTTTAAAACGGGAAACACTTAATGCTTTGCAAGAGAGATGAAACGCGATCCTGTTGTTGTGAACACTGCTGATCCGATGTGCGGAAATGAACGTTGCTGAAAACCTTTTTGCTTTCTCTAATGTCATCATATTTTTATATATATTTTAAATTCTGATATAAAATTACCTCTAACATTCAGTTTTTAATATGTTTGAAAAGTTGTAGAATGCAGAGCTTTAAAAAGTGAATAGTATATTTTTTTAAGTTGGTTATACAAAAACATTGCACTGATTTTATTATGGAAAACATGTGCTTTATCACTAAATGGTAATTCAGCTCACGAGTTTTTAGCTAAATCTCCTTTAGTATGGCAAAGAATAAGCCTGTAGTTAAATAGCTGCATACGTAATAACTTTTGAAGAATAAGAAGGTATGTAATATTGCCCTACAGTTAAAGTCATGCATTTCTTTTTGATTGATGAAACAATCCAAACAATCGATATAATATAAAATTATATAAATATAAAATTACCTCTAACATACAGTTTGTAATACATGTTTGAAAAGTTGTAGAATGCAGAGCTTTTCCTGATTTTAAAGCAACAGGTTTTTGATTGCAATGAAAATGGCTAACATGATGTTTGATGTTGTGCTCACTATTGTTAATAGTCAATGATATTTTTGCAAAGACATTCCTACTCGCTCAAATCATTATTTTGCCCCATATATTGAGATAAACTATTGATTATCCATTCATGTTCAGTCATCCACCTAAATGAATATTTAGGTATTGTTTAGCCTCCTCTGACCCATTTTTTCTTTTTATAATCTAGAGTCTTTATATAACATTCCCGAGCTGCTCAGTCATTTGGAGAAGCCCTGTGTTTTTTTGATAGTCATGATCCTGGCATATAGGAAGATACACTCGTTATGTGTGTTGTTACTGCTTCATAGATGTACAATGTAAAGATCTTTGTTTGGGTTATTGTTTCCCTAAACGTATTACAACGCATGAGTGACAGTTTGGAATGTGAGCAATGATGCTAACGTTACTCGGATGTGAAAGAGCAATCAAGCTATATAAAGTGATGTGAAAATGTGTCCAAGCACTTAATGCAGGAATTTTTAATTTATTGTTTTTCAGTTTAAAAAAATTATTTTTCAGAAGCCTGCATGCTCTTTTCCTTGAGGGAAAAAAAAAGGTCCATAAATTGACAAACTACATGGACTGCAGTTGTACTATTTGCCTGCTGAGCAGTGGAAGAAAGTTCAGAAAAGGAAGTGTGAAGAGGATGTTGGCTCAGTCACACATGGCTTCAGTAGAAAGTAAAATCCTTTTGATAGCTTTTAGAAATGCTTTGTACTTTTGGTTGGGCTGCCTGAATGTGTGGGATTATGTTACCGAGAGGACTGGGCAGTGGTCCAAACCTGTGGTTTTACCATACATTCAAAAAACAAAAAAAACCTTTATATTCACCTTTCATTGCCTTCCCTGTTACTTTTCTCTACCTGGTCTGTTCATGTATGTGATCCTGTAGAAATACTGGTCTTATGAGTCACTGGCTTCTGTCCCTCCTAACTCAGGACACTTAGCCTTCCGGATGATCCTATCCCTCTCATAGTGCATTACTTGGTTTCTCTTCTGCTTCCGAGTTCCTCCAATACTCTCCTTGACTGACTCACATGTCGACTCTAAACTGTGGATGTTATCTTTGCTGACAGGCGAGCAGCTCAGTGACAAAAGGCGGTCCTCCTTCCTGCTACCCACTTAGTATCCTGGCTGCTTTTTCACTTCTGTTTGAAGAATGATCCCACTTAACAATATGATTATGCATGTGAAAGTTAGTCAGGAGCGTAAGCATGATGGGTTTTAGAGGGGAAGAGTTCAGCAATTGTTTGTTTTCATGCAACATTAATCTGGTTACTGATTTAAATAGTATTTTTTTTAAGCTGTTTATGCAAAAACATTGCATTTATTTTATTATGGAAAGCATTGTGTGCCCCATCACTAAATGGTAATTCAGCTCACAAGTTTTTAGCTAAATCTCCTTTAGTATGGCAAAAGATCAGCCTGGAGTTAAATAAATGCATACGTAATAACTTTTAAAGAATAAGAAGGTATGTAATATTGCTCTACTGTTGAAGTGATGGATTTCTTTTGATTGATAAAACAATCCATACAGTTGGGGCTGCACAATATGATGTGGATCTATCATTGTATTACGTCATATGACGTCATACACACTCCCCTTTGTTTTAAAAAAATATAAATATAAAAAATATAACCGTGGATGTCTGGGGGACAGTGATTCGCCTACATGTTCTGAATGCTGGCGTACCATAAAGAATAAA